AAAACCTGACACAAGACGCCAACCTGGCACGAAATAAACGGGTTTAGGTAAGAGATTGTGACATGTTTAAGTAAATGGGTTGACATAATATGAAGGTCAAACGGATTAGGTTAAGGTCAAGACTTTCAAATCGAATATTGCCCATTTAACTATATGCATTTTTTTTATAGATTTTATATTTTTATAGATATATTATATATTATAGATCTATAGTGGGCCAAACTCAAAAAATAAAATTAAAATAACAATTTGAGATTGGCTAAGCAGAATCAAATCAGGGGAAGCGAAAAATATGAAAGTGTTTCAAACTTTCAGAATGATTTAATTTTACTCATCCTCACGGCTTAACCCTTTACGCCCCAACTCTTACTTTTTCTATGTTGTCTTCTAAACTTACTAAAAAATTTTACATTCCCTGCCGACTCCAATGTTTCACTTTTTCCTTTTCGCCTCCCCATCTCCTACATTCCAACTTATAAAATGTTTCAACCCTACATGACATAACATATTTACAAGGTCTAAACATTAACCTGAAACCCAACATTAAAATAAACAAGTTGAGAATACACAACATGATAATTAAAATGTGTCAGGTTAGGGTCGAGTTATTTCAACCTGTTTATGTCTTGATACTATAACATCCATAAAAATCGGGCCAAATTTAAACTTTTAAGAACATTTAGAAACAAATTGTTATTACAAATTTGTTTTCAAAACAGATCTATACCAGAGTGTCCCAGAAACATAGTCATAAAATGTGAGGAGCTGTATGATCACGCATTTGCCTTCCCGCGATCATCTGATGCACCTGAAACCAAAACTGAAACTGTAAGCCCAAAGCTTAGTGAGTTCCCCCAAAATACAGATACATAGCAAATAGCACATATACAAATAACAGCAAGTAATGGGTCCACAACGTACAGACTGGATTACCCCTGGGCCCACAGTGTGAGTCTGGCTTGCGTTCCGAGCCGACAACTCACATATGGATTGTCACTAAACCCACAGTACGAGTCTGGTATGCCTTACCCAGCCCTCACCTCGTATCTGAAATGCTCCCGAGCCTACTGTACAAGTCTGGCATGCCCTACCCGGCCCTCAACTCGTATCTGGAATGCTCCCGAATCCTCATGTATGAGTTTGGCATGCCCCGCCCGGCTCTCAGCTCATATCTGGAATACTCTAAGGTTTGTTGGCTACCGTACGGAGCAATACAACCTCAACCCAACCCACATAATATGTCGACATATAACATAACTAATGCACATACATATAGTTAGGTAATAACACAGGTAATCCTACAGATCTATCAGTTGGCATAACAACTAGCATGCATAAATAACTCATACTCAACATAATATAACAGGTAGGATATCATATCTAATGGGCCGCATTGGTGCCTTCGACCCCTTAGTATAGTGAGGATAACTCACCTCATAACTGTCGAACCGAAGTGATAAGCTCAAACTCTCGAAACACAGCCATCCACACCTATATTTACCATAAGATCATGTCCATAAATTTCCAATTTACTAAAATGCCCCCAAAAGTCAACTAGTCAACCCTTAGTTAAAGTCCAGGTCAATAGTCAAGGTCAATAGTCCATGCTGACCCAACTCGTTGAGTGCAGCTTACTGACTCATCAAGTCCTTCTAAAACTCGAGAAGTCGTAAAAATCCCCAGTTGCTTTGTCGAGTTTCCCTGCAACTCACCGAGTTCATGCATGTTCAAATGTCGGGAAAACCATAGCTGGCTCGCCGAGTCGTCCTACTGACTCGCCGAGTCCATGAAGAAATCCTTGCAGACAATCTTCATCGGACTCGTCGAGTTGGCCATGCAACTCATTGAGTCCCTTCAGTCCTTTCTCCATTCAGATGCTTTTGAGCCACCCCAAAACTCCATATTGCATATCAAGCTTCCCAAGGCATGTTTATCACATAAAGTTGCAAACTTTATATGTATGCAAGGCTCTAAAGGCTTAGAATACCAAATCCAAGCTTATAATGGGGTTTAACTAAAAAGGAAAAGCTTATACTTGCTAAATCTAGAAAGTTTATAACTATAAAGACCAAGATGAGTTCAGATATGAAGTTGCAACTTCAAATCCTAGCCCATACCCGAAAATGAATAACATACATGCTAGAAAAGCCCTATTCTTAAACATGAGAAGATCTAGAAGGAGGAAAGTCAAGGTAACGACTTGTTACCTTCAAAATGATGCCAATAAGTAGAAGAGTCAGATCCACAAGCTCATCTATGCTCTAATCCTCTTACACTTCAAGTCTTTTTCTTCCAAATCACATTCCAAGCTTGAAAATCATATAAAATGGAGAGAACACACGAATTAGGGTTTCAGAGCTCAAGGGGACATTGAGGGGAGGCCAAGGGAGGCTAATGACCCTTTAAATAGGTTGTAAAACCCTGAAAATTAGGGTTTCATCCTCTAGCTCCAAATCGTCGAATCATGTCCTCTGACTCGTCGAGTAGGTCACTTAAGTTACACGGCCAAATCAGTTCCTACCCGACGAGTCATAGCATCCAACTTGTTGATTCGACATTTCAAGATGAAAAAAAAGGTTGTAAAGTTAATACCTGAGAGTCGGGGTATTACAGATACAACACAAACCTCACACAACATGACATGTATTCCATGTCACTACAATATCACCTACAACTTTCTAAGACTTGTATGTGTGATCTAGTGTATAATTTTAGGTGTTTGATATTGAAGTTTGAGGCTAAGGCGGAGGTTAGAATAAGGGAAACAAAATCAAGCTTTCATAAAATAAAAAGATCGTAGCACCCGTTTTACATAATAGATCAGTTGAGGAGACCAAACTAAGGTTTTTGGGAAAAGCATGTATCACACCCCCAGTCGGCGGCGAAATCGTAGGGTTGTGCGACGTTTGATAGATACCACAATTATTGAGTACATTGAATAATACACAAAAATTAAAATAAAAAACATTTCTTTTATTGATAATATAATATATTACATTGTCTTAGCATAGAAAATTAAAAAACTACATCCTTGACACTGACAAACAAACAACACTGCAAACCATCTCCTTATGTGAATCTCCGATGATGTTGCCACTCCTAACTCTCATTTCCCTAAAAATTCATATGATTTAAATAATCAACATATTGTTGGTACAATCATAGGTTTCTATGTTTTAAAAATACTCTTAAACATCGTTGTCGTTGGGTATAATTTTTATAAGTATTTACATAATTGTTGCGATACTCTTTTAAAGGAATTTATTTATTATGTTTACTTTCCTTTAAAAAAATTTCTTTAATAATTGTTTTATGTATATTGTAACGACCCGATTTTCAACCTAAATTTTTCATTTTTATTTATTCAATATTCAATTACATCATAGTATAATGCGGAAACATGATTACGAATGTGCATGAGTACTGTTGAACCTTGTCCTTTTCACGAACCAATGAAGTGCTTGAAAAACATTTATAACAACTGGGTAAGCGCTAGGTTTAGTGAATTCCCCAAAATATCGTATACCATGATACATATACATGCATACAAACAATCCTTACTATCTACCAATAATATGTATATTTTAGACTTACGACCCAACCATTTCGTCTTCAACACAGGTCTTCGTGTACTTACCGCCTACATGTCATTTTATCACCATGGGTGTATGTGTACTTACGGCCTATATGTCGTTTCGTCAACATTGGCATATGTGTAATATTGGCCTACTTGCCATTTTGTCAGGACGCAGGCCTATAGGCTCCTAGCCTCTTTAACCATTCCACTATCATCCCTAACTAAGTCCAATATCACAACAATTTTGCACATAAATATTGTACCTTAGATTCTACTAATACAAGCACATTCATACTTCCTACTTTACCAATTTACACTTAAGCACGTAGAGAGTATTATATCAGTTATAATCTATTTCATCTATATCATAACATACATGGTGTAGCACATGGTTCTTGGTACGTATTTCTTTTTATTTTTATCTAAGAATTTTCCATTTTTGGCCTTGGACTCGGCGAGTTGAAAGACCAACTCGCCAAGTAGAAGCGGGATGGGACGCGGGATTTAAGTGATGGACTCGACGAGTCGGGTCCCAGACTCGACGAGTAGACCATGTCTGGACAAAAACCCTAATCTGAGGGTTTGCACCCTATTTAAACAATGTTATGTCGGCCACAGCGTCCCTTACGCTCCCAAAACACCTCTCATTGAAACCCTAGCCGCTATTGAAGCAATCTAAGCCTTGTTGGTGGAATTTGGTGCTTGTGGTCTTAAGAAGGAAGGAGAAAAGCTTGAGGAAGTGAGTAGAGACTAAGGGAACCCGAGTTTATGCACCTTCTACAGTTCATTGAAGGTAAAAAGTTGTAACCTTTCTCTTTCATTTGTTAGATCCCTCTTTGGGGAGATTTATGGCTTTTATAAGCCATATTTGATGACCAACCATGATTGCAAACATGGTTGGGGGTTGGGGCTTCTAAATCAAGTCATTAAGGGACTTGATTTAGGGCTTTTATAAGCCATATTTAGGACTTCCACACCCACACACAATCTTCGTGTGCAAATTTTTGAATCTCACTCCACGGTTCCTTTGAAAAAGTGAAAACAAAATGAAGCATCACAATTGCTTTGAAAAAGAGAAAACAAAATGGTCTTCCATAGTTATTTACAGCCGTTAGAAGCATCAAATGACAAAAATACCCTCACCGTGCAACGCACGTGGGGTACAACAACCCAACATATGTTATCATTCTTGTTCCTGCATGATCTTAGAACCAAACTAAAAATGGTCAAATGTACTATGATACAAAATGCGTGAGAGCTACTCAGGTCCTTTTCCATTAAAAAACTTAACACACGAACAATATGCCTGTCATTAACACAGGTCTTTTAACATGATCGTTATATATGAAAAAAAAAAAACTAAGAATAGAAAATCTATAACTATCCTAGCTTCATAATATACCCAAAGCATCTCATCCAAGCTTCATAAGGACCTTGGCCCAACCATCATCATCCCAAGCATTGCCACCATGACGCCGCCCATCACCAGAGCAATCACTTTTAACTTCCTCTCATGATCTTCCAACTTGTGATGCAGACTGATGTGATCAACACGACACAAAATGAAATCTTTACCCACTTGATCTTTGAGCGTCTGCATCTCAATCTGGTTGGTAGCAATCTTGTCTCCACTAGGGATGAGCAAAAGAACCGAACCGGCCATAACCGGCCCGAACCGAACCGGATTCGGCCAAAATGAAGAACCGAACCGGCCTGGCGGTTCTACCGGTTCCGGTTCCGGGTCCGGTTTTTGCCGGTTTTTCGAGTTTGGAACCGGCTAAATTTTGATGTATCCAACGACTAAATTACTTTGCGTTTTATTGGTTTTTCGGGTCCGATTTTTGCCGGTTTTTCGAGTAATTCCAAAGACTAAATTACTTTGCGTTTTATTGGTTTTTTTTGAAGAAGTGGATGTTTAAATACATGTAAATAATCAACATTTTAATAAACGATTCAACATTCAAGCAAATTAACCATAGATCTTTTATTTAAATTATTACAAGCAAATTAAACATGTATGTCGTCAAAGTTATGTTATTAAGTATCCAACATTCAAACATTCAACATTCAAAACACACTTTCGACATTCAAAATATACTTCCAAGTTTCACTAACAAAAAAAAAACAAAGTCTAATATGTGGATTCCAACATTTCTTTGATATTTTGACTAATTTCCCGATCTCTTCCCCCGTTAGCTTCAAGTTGTGTATAGCATCCACAATGTCTATATATAATACAAAAGAAAAATGTTATTACTTACTAAAATATAACAAATACTAATAAGAAGTTAAAAATAAGATGTAACAAGTATTAGTGTATTACCGATAGCAAGGTCATCATCAGCTAACACATCGTGCACTTCGTCGTAGTCATATATAGGCAAGCTACTCTTTCTTAGCCAATCTTGAGTGCATATCAATGCCTCCACAATCACAACAGACAAATTAGTACGGTAGTCGGTAATTACTCGACGACCGTTACTGAATGTGGATTCGGATGCTACGGTGGAAATTTGCATCCCCAAAATATCTATTAATAAACAAATTAGTGTATAATACACGACACAAATTTATAAATTAAAAAATTAAATTAGAGTAAAAGAAGGTCGATACCTCTTGCCATTCGAGCAACGATCGTGAACCGCACCGCATTATTTTTCCACCATGTGAGGATATCATATCCTTTGTCAAATCCGATTGGGTCCTCGTTTAAGTATCGTTGCAATTGACTTTCTGACAATGTCGAGGGGAAACTTCCTGAAGTCATATAGCTTCCAAAGAATTCGTTTTCGTCATCAAAATTAACAACTTCTTCGGGAGTTTCTTGTTGAGACGATGAGGTCATGTTTGACCTTTCCAAGTATGTCTTGAAAAACTTGTCCAATTTGCATTCGATATCAATAACCTTTGCACGTGCTTTGGATTCTATCTCATCAGCGAACATCTTTTTATCTTTGTTCTTGGCTTTAAGCATTTGGGTAAAAACAACTTTCATAAACTTTGACTTGCATTGAGGATCTAACAATGTCGCAAAGAATACATAATCACTTATAGTATCATAGTCACCTCAATATTTGTCATATTTATCTTTCATATCTGGTACCATAAACATAAAATCCAGGTTGGTTTCATGTTTCCTAAGATGTTGCTCTATATCTAGGATCTCCCGGGTATACGTATGGAAGATAGGCTTTGTTGAACACGAAACTTTTTCAGTTTTCTTCTTAAACTTCTCAAGGAACTCCATCATCTTTTTAATCATCTCAAAATCTGAATGTGATGGTACCCTTCCCACAGTTTTCTGAAAACATTGGATCTACAAAAAAAGAACAACAAAATCAGATTACGTTTTATTAATGTTAGAAAAAAAAAATCAGATTTGACACCCTTCCTTGCGGGGCTTGTAACTCATTTAATTTTTAACAAAATCAAGCGTTTTTATAGTCTAAATTCAACTACAAATCCTAATCTACATGTAGGAAAAAGATTCAGGTCAAAACAAGTTAAATCGAATGAGTTATGCACATTTGAACAACAAAATCACATCACGTTTTATTGTTGTTAGAAAAAAAAAAAATCAGATTTGACACCCTTCCTTGTGGGGCCTGTAACTCATTCAATTTTTAACCAAATCAAGCGTTTTTATAGTCTAAACTCAACTACAAATCCTAATCTACATGTAAGGAAAAGATTCAAGTCAAAACAAGTTAAATTGAATTAGTTATGCACAATTTAAAATTTGGACAAATTGCTAAAAAAGTAAATATTGCTAATTTTAGTGCTGAAATATATTTGATTTTATTTACCTTGATGGCTATATTCGAGAAATGCATCTTTCACATCGTATGCTGATCTTAGCAATTCAAAGGTAGAGTTCCACCTTGTTGGAGTTTCACCACACAAAAACCTTTGACTTTCTACAGCCGCATCCTTCATGGCTTGTTAAAGGTCTTGATCCGTTGCGGGGAGGCTCTAATGTATTTCACCGCATCTTGTAGGTTTTTTACATGATAAACTTCGTGTTTTAACCCCATTTTCACAACTAGGTTTATGATATGAGCCATACACCTAATGTGAAAATGTTTTCCAATCTCGTAAATACCCGGTAGTTCTTTCACAATGATGTTGATTGCCGCGTCATTTGTCTTGGCATTATCAACGGTCATCGTCATGACATTCTTCATCCCCCACTGGTTTATGCAAATTAGCAACTCCCGGGCCATGTCTTCAGCTTTGTGAGTATCAACCTCTCTAAAGTTGACTACCCTTTTGTGCATGACAAAATCTTCGGTAATGAAGTGGGTCGTGACAACCATATAATTTATCTTTTGACACGAGGATGTCCACGTGTCGGTTGTCAAGTGGATGGCTGTTTTGGGGTTGCTCAAATGTTTGTACAACTTCTGCCTCTCCATTAAATAGAATGACACAACATCACGAGAAATTTTATGCCTTGAAGGCAATTTCACCCTACCATTGAGGGCGTTCACAAATTCTATGAATGCCTCGTTTTCAATTAATTTAAATGGTAGTTCGCCGATGGTGAAAAGGCCTGGCAAGGCAAGTTGGATCCTAGTATCATCATGTTTCCATATGTATACATGACCCTCACCATTAGGAGCTTTCGTAAATGACAACTTTTGTTGTTTGTCATCAACTTCTTTCGGTATGTTGTCTAGATATAACTTGCACCCATTAAAATGCTTATTTATTGAAGTTGTCCCATTCCGGTTTGGATCCGCAGCTAGTAAATGTAAACAATAATTACATTCGGCCCACTTTCTTTCAATTCCATCGTCCTCCTTTATCCATTCTATCTCGAAGTATTTCCAAACAGGAGCGGTACAATTATCTCTACCCTCACCTCGTCTAGTTAGGTTAATCCGATCCCTTAACTCTTTTTGAGTCTTTTTTTTTGTTTTGTTTTTGGGTTTTGGTTTTGTTGGGTATTTTTCTTGTGTTCGTTTTTGTGGTGGTGGTGATTTTTTTGTTTGTGTTGGTTTTTTTGGTTGTCTTCGTTTTTGTGGGGTTGCAAATTTTCGTTTTTTTGAAGGTTGTTGTTCTTGTGGCTCCTTTTCTTGGTTTGATTCATCACTTGGTATAACATTCCATGCCAGTGTTTCATCTATATAATATTCTTCTGAATCTTCTCCATAATCCTATATTCTCAAAATAAAACATATAATAAGTCATATTATGTTTAAATGCTGAAAAATAAATATAAAAAAAAAAAAAATCAGATTTGACACCCTTTCTTCTGGGGCTTGTAAGTCATTCAAATTTTAACCAAATCAAGCGTTTTTATAGTCTAAATTCAACTACAAATCCTAATCTACTAGTAGGAAAAAGATTCAGGTCTAAACAAGTTAAATTGAATGAGTTATGCACAATTGAACAATAAAATCAGATCACGTTTTATTGCTGTTAAAAAAAAAAAAAATCAGATTTGACACCCTTCCTTGCGGGGCTTGTAACTCATTCAATTTTTAACCAAATTAAGTGTTTTTATAGTCTAAACTCAACTACAAATCCTAATATACATATAGGAAAAGATTCAGGTTAAAACAAGTTAAATTGAATGAGTTATACACAATTGAACAACAAAATCACATCACGTTTTATTGTTGTTAGAAAAAATAAATCAGATTTGACACCCTTCCTTGCGGGGCTTGTAACTCATTCAATTTTTAACAAAATCAAGCGTTTTTATAATCTAAAATCAACTACAAATCCTAATCTACATGTAGGAAAAAAATTCAGGTAAAAAAAAGTTAAATTGAATGAGTTATGCACAATTGAACAACAAAATAAGATCACGTTTTATTGTTGTTAGAAAAAAAAAATCAGATTTGACACCCTTCCTTGCGGGGCTTGTAACTCATTCAATTTTTAACCAAATTAAGCGTTTTTATAGTCTAAACTCAACTACAAATCCTAATGAACACGTAGGAAAAAGATTCAGGTCAAAACAAGTTAAATTGAATGAGTTATGAACAATTCAAAATTTGGACAGATTGCTAAAAAAGTAAATATTGCTAATGAGCTAAATGCTAATCTTACTTGATCATCAAAGTCTTTTCCAATCCAATTAGCCGAATTACCATCTTCAATATTGGCATCATGAACATCCGAGTTTCGGTATCTTGATGATGGTACATTTGGTAACCCATCCAAATCCTACATTGTCAATTTTACACATTAATTATATAACAAAAGTACTAAACAAATTCGTAGTTTTGACAATCTTACATAATTACATTCATACTATAAACAATAAACTAATCTAACAAAAATCTTGCATGTATGTCTACAAAGTACATTGTTAAATGGAGCTTAAAACATGAAACATATATTATATGTACAAGAATCAAGATCTTTTAATTAAGTAGGGATAAGAATGCATATCTTTGGAATGGAGACAACAAAAGCAAAGAAAAAAAACTTGCATGCATGCCATTATTTGGCGAATCATTGAAGCATTGAAGCAAATATTGAAATATATAATCTTAACACATGAAATATAAATATATGCTCTTACTTGATCTTCATGAACATCCATAGTTTGAATCATTGAAGCAATTGAAGATAAAAATCAATTAATGATGATGAAGAATTGAAGATCGATTGAAACTTGGAGATGGAGAGTTGTAATCAATGGAAACTTGGAGTTGGAGATGAAGAATTGAATGATGATGAAGAGATGTCATGACTCGTGATTGTTGTCGATGGTCGCAGTAGGGTCGCCGATTCGTTCGTGACTTGGGGAGTTGGAATCACGATTTTTTTTGTTACGTGGGACTAAGAACTCCAAGCGACAGCCCAAGGGTTTTATGTAGCCGGGCTGGTTCCCGGTTTTGAGCCGGTTCCAACAGCCGGTTCTTACCGGGTCCCGGTTCCAAATAAGCACGAAACTGTAGTATAGGTCCCGGCCCGACCGGTTCCATCGGGTGCCGGTTCCGGGACCGGTTCCGGCCGGTTCCCCGATCCTTTTACTCATCCCTAGTCTCCACAGTCGCAAAAAATCGAATGGAGGTCGCTGAGGTTAACAAACTCTCCAGAATTTATCGAGTCGGGTGAGGGAGGTGGTGGATCCGACATTGATAGATTTTAGGGTGTTGTTCGGAATTGTGTTTGGCTTATTAGGGTAAAAAGGTATCGATTTCTGCTACGTTAAGCACCAAAGATTTGTGAAGAAGACTTTATGCCCCCACTACTGACTCTTCCTTGTCCTCTACGGGTTGTTGGATGGTTGGTAGACATAATGGCTAATTAGTGAAGGTTAGTTGGACGCTTAGGTGGAGGATGAGTAAACGAGTCCAAATCAATGCTGAGTAAGCTGCTTAGTTGGTAAGTCAAAAAGTTCTTTTACCTTCGATTGTGCGTTAAAGTTCCATATTAACCGGTCATTTACAAGTATAAGCCATTTAAAAGCAAAAAATAATCAGGATGGACCATTTAAACCAATATACGAAAGATAATTGGGTCAGAGTGACAATAACCTTTGGCAAAATTGTGAGAATTTGATGGTTAGTGACTAAACTTGACCATGTCATATATTTAAGGGATTCGTATTGTTATTGGGCCTTAAACGCGCGCGTCACAAACCGGGTTAATAGGGATCCGAATTTGTTCGAGATATAAAAGCTTAAGACCCGCCTCCAATCAGAAAACTTCACCAGTTCGGTTAAATTAGGGTTTTACAGGTTCTTCTTGGCGGCAACACATCCTTTGCGATGGGGAAATCGAAGGGATCAAGGAAAGGGAAGAAAGCATGGAGAGCCAATATAAGCACAGAAGATATTGAGGATTTCTATGAAAAATCTAGCAAAGACGCTCTTTCTGGTGGTTCTCTAACCGAAGTCCCTAGCGATTCTCTGTTCTTCGTCGATAAATCCAGAGGTTAACATCTTCATGCTCCTGTAATATGTTAATGACGTGCTCTTACTCTTCCTTTCTGAATTCATATGTATCTCTTATTTAGTACACGTTTTGTTCATCGCATTAGATGCTTCGTTGCAAGCTAGCAAATGTTCATGTAAAAAATGAAAAAACAAGAATACATCATGACAATTTGAAATATAAAATTAACTGGTGAACATGTTTGTGGTTTTCCCTATTCAGATCTTTCCGTCAAGCGTAAAATCGATAAACACAGAGAGAAGATCCTTCGTGTTGATAGCATACTACAGAAAAACTCTTTTGTACAACCTGTACCCTCTTCAAATCAGAAAAACTCCTTTAAAAAACGGAAAGTGATTCAGAGGTCAGACGATTCTTCTCAGGTCTGTCCAAGTGTAAAAAGTTTTTCGGTTTGGTTCTTCTTAATTATTGTACTGGAATATTTGTGTGATTGATAAGATCTAATTTGTAATTGAACAGAAAGATGGCACCACAGATACCGGCATAGTTGATATCTGGGATGATAAAGGTTTATCTCTTACTTATTTCTTCGCAGATGCCTCTTCTTTTTGGTCTTAAATGAGAGATTTCTTAATGGATGTGTGAATTTTCAGGTGAGCGAACTTTTAAGTCAAGAAAGGTCTCTAATAAGATTATTGTGATTCCTGCTGTGGAAGTAGAACCACCTGGATGCTCATACAATCCATCATCTGAAAGTCATCAGGTCCTTTACTTATACACGATTTTTACGAAATAGTCTGTTGAAACCATTAATGAATAATGACTTCCATTTATTTACACTAGTTCATGTTTTTAACTTTTTGCAGGATTCATTAGCTTATGCAGTTGCAGATGAAATGCAGAAGATTTACACTAAAGAACTACGCCCTACACCTGTTCCTTTAACTGTTCCTGGAGAAGCCATTGACGAGGAAGATGTGTGTAGCCTTAATCTTTTGGAATTATAGCCTTGTAAATACTTATGTTAATTCGTGTAGCTAATGGTTTAGAGATTTTAACAGATGTATTTTCTTGATGCGGACAAAGAGAATGATGATGATGATGAGGATGATGCGCAAGATGTTGATGAAGATCTTGAAAAAAGGTATGTAGTTATTATGTACATCTCCTTGTTATCCATCTATAAAGTTTATGTATAAACTTATGCTTTGAAAATTATGAAAAATGCAGGCCATTTAAAACTAAAAGGGTAACACGAGTAGTTTTGAATAAGAGGATTAGAAATAAAGAAAAATTGAAGAAGCAAGCAGAAGCTAAAAAGACAAAGGAGTTCACTAAAGAGCTTGACAGGTGATTTTTTCTTAAGCTGGATTTTTTTTTTCTTTTCATTATATTTAGTTATTTACTTGTTTTGGTTTTAAATATATACTGCAGCTTACCAGATATAATTGATGAAATTGCAAAAGAGGATGAAGAAAAAAGCAAGAGACATGAAAGGCGTGCAATTGCCAAAAAGGAAAGACTAAAATCATGTCCACCACGTCTAGGGAGACACAAGTAAGTTTAGTTTAGGGTTGAATTTGTAAATTACCAATTATGTTGTTTAAGTTTAGGGTTGAATGTGTAAAATTGGGGGGAATGTTTTTCAGATTTGAACCTGCACCTGTTCAAGTGCTGTTATCTGAAGAAATCACTGGTTCTTTAAGGAAACTCAAGGTTTGCATTTTTTACAATTAGAGTTTATTTTTTTAATAATAAAAATATATTTGTGAATGTTATAAAATATTATTTTGTAGGCATGTTGCACCCTTGCGAGAGACAGATACAAGAGCCTTGAGAAAAGAGGAATAATTGTGCCTACTGCTAAGAGTGGCAGGTATTATTTACTCCATCATTTTTTTTTTTTTTTTTAACTGATGAGACTTTATTAATTAATGTTTTTAGATGCTGGGATTTGCTGACAAGTGTCCAATTTATCTGTTGTGCAGGAAATAAAAGGAAGTCTTGTTTTTTATTTTAATTTGTTCCTCAATCAGAATCCTCATTATATTGTTGATTCTAGCTCTTTATAACAAATATGGAGTTGTGTTTTTCGTTTTTGGTTTTCTTCAAAACCATAGGATGTATTTATAGGATGGATTTTTGCTATACTTTATTCCTCCTAAATATACAACACTTTTTTTTCAAACATGCATATCTTTTTTTAACAGAATTCTTGACCCTTTATCTTTTTTTAACTGGTAAAAAACGTTCTCTTTTTACAATCGCGCTTTCTTCATCAGTTTGTTACTATGTATATTGATTTCCATAATGTTATTGTTAATGAGATATTAGAACCATGTTGACTTTAAATATCAATAATGTTACTATTAATGAGATATAAATATCGATAGTGTTATTTATAAATAATGAGATAGAACCCTGCACGCTTTCCGCTAGACTTAAACAGGGGGAAAGTGCCCGATAGCTACACCATCTGTTTTATGTTGTTTTATATTAAGCTTCCATTGTAACTTATAAGTTCAGTTAAGAAAGCTTCCATCGTAAGTTCAGTTGAGAAATAAAGGAGACGTCAATTTAGATGTTTATGTGACTTGATCGAAATTCACATGTAAAATATCAGCTTTGTATGGTTTTTGTTTCAAAAGCCCAAAGTTTTTTGATCTTTGAAGGGGCGAACATGTAAATATACTCGCATAGAAAAAATCTGGTCTGTTTTGGAGGAATTTTGCAAAACCGCCATTTTTACATTTGCCAAATTGTACAAAAAAAAGCCGGCGATCTGTACAAACTTGGCAAATCTTGTAGGTTTTCTTCATTATCAAAGGTAAACCCCACCCTATAATATACGTACTATAATATACATATTGATTTGTAAATAAATATCAAGAATGTTATTGTTAATGAGATAGAGAACCTTGTGGACTTTATAAATCAATAATGTTATTATTAATGAGATATAATGTCGATAATTTTATTATTTAATAATGAGATATAAAACCCTGCACACTTAGTTAGACTATTAAAAAGGGAATGTGCCCAATAGCTACACCCGTCCGAACTGAACACCCTCTCTGTTTTACGTGACTTTATCAAAATTCACATTTAAAATATCAGCTTTTTATGGTTTTTGTTTCAAAAGCCCGAAGTTACCCAAAGGAAAGTAAATTAGAAATAGAACGTGTCTGGACATAAATAGTAAATTCTATTTTACACTCTAAAAATAGTGTAAAAATAGAATGTGATTGGGCATTCTCCAAGTTCTTTAATATTGGGCAGAATTTGGGGAATGTTGGGGTTTTATAATCCTTTTAGTTGAGCGGTTAGCATTATGAATTTGATGCGCTTGGTTGGTGACGATCGGCCTAAAAAGCATGTAGGCGGTTCTAATAAGGTATCAAAGCTTTAGGTTAAAACATTACTGTTGACTCTGCAATCGCCACTCTCAATCTCTGGGGACCTTCTCTAATAGTCGTTAAAGATGTCTTCATTATGCTCTCTCTCTCTCTCTCTCTCTCTCTCTCTCTCTCTCTCTCCACCGCAATCTCCAATCTCGCTGCAGCTTGAGCCCTCTTTCTTTCTTGCTCCTTTCTTTGGATGCCTTTGCTGGTGGTTCCATGATTGTTGTCATCGCTCCTCTTTTATTTTACAATGAAACCACTTCTAGCCCTTGTTTCTTTTCTCTTCTTCTCCAACAAATAATCATTTTAGACACCATCATCAGAGCTTTGCCACTGTTGTTGCTGCTGCCTTCATCTATGCTTTCATGTTTTGTTCCTTCTTTTATTTTTCCAATTTAATCGTCTGATGTTAGTGATTAGGGCGAGGCTAATATCTATTAGTTAGGTTAAGACCAAGAGTCCATTTTTTATATTCCTTAAATAGGGTTAAATTTTCTTTATGATCTATTCTATAAAGCAAATGGGAAATAGTTCCGGAGAAGTACTACCGTTTAATCAAAGGCACTTTTCCATAAGAAGAGTTTCATTGTTCTAGGACCAACACTTATTAACTTTTCAATTATATTATTTTCTTAAGAGTGTTTCTATTAAAATGTTGTTTCAAATATAAATAAACTAATGTGTCATGCGTAGGTGAATGTAGATCGTACTTTAAAGGAGCCGACACTCTCGTCGAGAGGAGAAAGGGCAAACAACCGTTTCTATTTGCAGTTTAGTTGGTGTGGATTTCATATAACTTTCAATATTGTTGAACATAACAACTATATATAATTACACGCATGGGTAGATTTGAACCCCCCCCCCCCCCCCCCCCCCCCGCTTTTTTTTTTTTTATAAATAATTTATCTCACGTTGACCAAGTTAAATGGCATCACTACATATACGAGTAAAATATGTCGAACGAGTCGAAAATCGTCCGATATAATATTATTTAAAAACAAGATTATGATTTGTAACAAATTAACAATGTATCTTTTGTCATTATGTTTGGCATGTTGAGTATTTTATTAAAAATATATTTAATAAAAATATCAACTAATTTTGACTTGTTACTTAGCAAACATTACACATTCCCATTTAAAACAATTACTTGTTTTAATATTACAAATTTTGTAGTTAAAGTAAAATTTAATTCTTAAAAAAAGTAATATATTTTTTGATTTGTACATATTTGTTAATTGAGTTTTTTTTGTCTATATCTACGCATTCAACTTTATTAATTGTATATATTTAGTCTTTATGACCATCTATTGTAGGTAAACCGGAAAAAAAATGGCTTAATATGGGAATTTGTAATGTTTATTTCATAATATTTATATTTATTTCATAATATTTTTTTTGCATATTTAATCCTTAATTTTTTTTGTTGCAAAATAAGTTCTTATTGTTTTTGTACACATTTAATAGTTATGAACAGTTTATTTAAGTTTTTCTCATAATATCCGATGTGAGACAATCATTAATGAGGTGTTCATGGTTGTTGATGATTATGGGCACCGTGACCTTGGCTGCTTGATTGCTTATGTCTTGTGTTGTAAACATCGTAACTTCTTCATATGATCTCGAATTTTAACGATCTTTATATCCACACGTTCGTATTTGAGTCTACTATTTCATGTAGATTACTTTCATTAAAAAGTAATATATTTTTACTTATGATTTTATAAAAAAAAACATTCATACATATATTTATAAAGAACACATGTATATAAAGATCATAAATAAAAATATATTACTTTTTATCGGGAGTAATCTAAACGAAATTTGTAGTAGACTCAAATAAGAACACGTAGATATAAAGATTGTTAAAAGTTGAGATCGTATGAAGAATTACGACATTCAAAACACAAGACCTAAGTCAAACCACAAAACCGAAGCAACCAAGCAACCGGTGACGCAGTGACTATAAGCATAAACAACCCAAATACATCATTAATGATTCTCCCACGTAGGATACCGTGAGAAAAACTTAAAAAAACCGGTCATAAGTATTGAATATATACAAAAATAACTATGACTTATTTTGCAACATAAAAAATATTAAAGATTAAACATGCAAAAAGAAAATGTGTACAAAGTGAGAAATATATTATCGTATTAAGTCATTTTTTCCGACTTACATGGAGTAGCCGATCATAACGTCTGGATGTGTACAGTTAAACACGTTGAAGTGACAAATGTGGACAAAAAAACTTAGTGATCAAATATATACAAATCGTAAAATATATTATATTTTAAAGTCATTATCTCTACAATTTACGCATAACATTAAGAGATAATGACATAAAGACCCGATGTGTGATTTTTTTTTTTTTTTTTTTTTTAAATTTTATCTTTTTTACGTGATAAAGCCAAATTTTTTTAGGACTTTAATGATCCATAAAAGCAAACTTAAGAGATTTTATGAACCAGAAAAAAAAAAAAAGTAAAACCGAATATTTCTACCAAACGTAAGTAATTTAATGAGACAAAATTATATAAAAATATAATTTTTTTCGACAAACATCAAATTTTGATGAACCTAAAATCCGTAAAAAAATTAAATATGTACATTTTTGACAAAGTTAAAAGACTTTTATATTATTATCAGTAATAAAATAATCTCTTTACTTTCCAAAAGACAGAGAACAATTTAAGAATATCGAAAATATCTTATCGTTTGCTTCTAAAATATTTTGTAGACAAAACAAAACGAGGTGAATAAACTTAATTCTATTGAAAAAGGGTCTCTAGATCATTTATAACAATAAGAGGGAGTACTCTGTATATACGAAAAGTCAAAGGACTGCTTCTGTACATTTTTAGTAAAGGAAGGAAAAGAATTGCCGTGTTATAAAGCAACGATGCTGGACATTGTAGAATAGGCTAATTGTTTGTGCCGGTTTTTTGTTTGCGGTCGTTAATCGGTCAAGCTAAGCGGCTTCGCATTGACCGAACCGAATTATTCAATACGCCAGCTGAGCTGCCTGCTATTCGCAGATATTTTTTTCAAGTGGAACACAAAGGAACTTGTTCCCATCATTCATCTGCTTTTGAGCCTCTTTTCCTCCGATTAAGGATTCTCAATAACTCTAAAGTTGTTACCAAAGGGAGGATAAGATGAATTTGAAACTAGGTTTTCAGCTACAGGTAAATATTTTTCTCAAAAGCATTTTCAGATCTTAGCTTTGTTCGTACGGTTTTAAGATTCTTCAGTTTTCACCCTTTTTGATGATATACGCGTTGACTGCTTTAAGTTTCTCGATTTCACTTTTTTGAACTGTTGAGGTTTTAGGTAGATGTTGTTGATCAGTTCTTATTTTGCAAGTTTAATTCGTTTAACAACTCAAATTTGGCTTGATTCGACAACTTAGCTTGAGTTTAGGTTTGAGAACAGACGAACATTAAAGCTGTACGATGTTCTTACGATATTGAACCTTTTGCCCTTCGTTTGAAGTTAGCTCTATTATTAATTACAGTTAGATTTGTGTTCGTTTGCTTATCTCGTGCATAGCTGATGCAATTACATTTTGCTTTACCAAAAGGGATGCACTTAGTCAAAAGTAACACTGTTCAATGTCGATAGTCAATTATTCATGTGAAGTAGATATGTATATTCTTTTAATTCCAGGCGTTGGTTATTTAGGTTAACTTTTGATAAAAAAATTTCTCATTAACTTGATTAGTTCTCCTGGATTTGAAGTTCGAAGCTAGTTCTCCATGCCTATCATCGCTGCCACCATTGCTCTTGTTATTAAAGGAAGATAATCAATCCACTTCCAAGAGCAATCAACAGCTGAAAAGATATTAGGACTACTACACTACAATGACTTCAAATGATAATGGTGGAGTTGAAGAAGAGAAATCAAACGGATGTAGAGTCAAACCTATAGTCAATCTTCATATTGAAACCTCTCGCAGGGGACTTCTTAGGGATGAAGGTTCTCAAACTCGGGGGGATAGTACTGCTACAACTCCTACTCCTCTAACCAATAGAACCCCAAGTTTCCTTGTATTTGGCAATTTAGGTACTCCAACTGCAAAATTCCAAAGAATAGCCCAAGAAAGAGACGATTTCTCACGCACAGTTCCCTCAAGTGCAAGTCAAGCAATTCGTGATCGCTTCACTCGAGTCTTCTCCAAGAAAATTGACTGGATTTCCCTCCAAAAATTAGCCAAAGAGTGGATAAGAAACCCCATGAACATGGTTCTCTTAATCTGGATCATAGTTGTTGCTATCTCAGGTGCAATCCTCTTTCTTGTCATGACAGGTATGTTAAACCACGTCCTTCCAAGAAAGACTCAAAGAGACGCTTGGTTTGAAGTCAACAACCAAATCTTAAATGCCCTTTTTACCCTCATGTGTCTTTACCAACATCCCCAAAGGCTTTACCACCTTGTACTCCTCATAAGATGGAAACCAGAAGACATTTCAAAATTAAGAAAATTATACTGCAAAGATGGAACCTATAAACCTCATGAATGGGCCCACATGTTGGTTGTTGTCTTGTTGCTTAACCTAAACTGTTTTGCACAGTACGCGTTATGTGGTCTCAATGTCGGGTACAGGAGATCAGAAAGACCAGCACTCGGAGTCGGAATCACCATTTCCGTAGCGATCGGTGCTCCCGCAATCGCTGGTGTGTATTCTGTCGTGAGCCCCCTCGGAAAGGAATACGATTCCGTTCCTTCCGATGAAGAATCGCAACTCAAACCGGAAAGCAACCGAGGGAAGTCTTTCGAAAGAAGATTCTCATTCACCCCAAAAGACGACAGCACAATCGAAACTAGTCCGAAATGGAGCGGGGGTATTTTCGACTTTTGGCAAGATATCTCATTAGCATACCTCTCGTTGTTTTGTAGTTTTTGTGTTTTCGGATGGAATATGGAGCGACTTGGATTTGGAAACATGTATGTTCACATCGCAACATTTCTTTTGTTTTGTTTGGCGCCTTTTTGGATTTTTAATTTGGCTGCGATAAATATCGATAATGAGACAGCAAGAGAGGCATTGGGGATTACGGGGATATTTCTGTGTGTGTTTGGGTTGCTTTATGGTGGGTTTTGGAGGATTCAAATGAGAAAAAGATTCAATCTGCCACCTTCTGATTCCTGTTGTGGGAAACCTGCTGTTACTGATTGTGCATTGTGGCTTTTCTGTTGCTGGTGTACACTTGCTCAGGAAGTCCGGACTGGAAACATGTATGACATTAAAGAGGATAAGTTTTATAAGAAACCTGCGGAGGAGGTTGCCTTTCCGATTCCGTTATCAACTCTGCCACAAGAACAGGAATCTGGATTCCATTCCGGTCCCAGTTCTCCACCTCAGAATAGCTCTGCCAGGCAGCCATCAGATGCGGAGGATGTTCATTCGAGAGGTAAAGATGTAACTCTGGAACCACCGATTCCATCTTTAATACATAGAGAAGACAATTGAGAATATTAAAATTTTTATATCATTCGAGGTGTATGTATATGAGATCTTTTTTTTATTTTGTTATCTTTTGTGTTGTGTAAATTTCATCTTTTTCTAGCATTTCCTTTTGTTTGGTGTATCTTAAGTTTTGAAGGATGTTTAATTTCCGAAGGTTCTGTCTAATCGATAAAATGGTGAAAACTAGAAGTGTTTTTGGGTAATTTTCCTATCATAATTAGTAATTTTGTTAATATAATAGAGTTCTTGGATGTTGATTAGTAGCAAGGAAGTGAAAGGGTTTTAGGGAGGAACAAAATTGTAGACTCCAGTCCAACCCAAGCCAATATAATTATAGTCTAGTAGTTGTCACCTCTTTTTAGGTTAGAGATTTTGTAGCCATTTTCTGACTCTCTCTCACCCAAACATTTTGCTTTTAACTATGAGTGGAATTAATCTTGTGTTAATGTATTTAATCATGTTTTGTTCGTGATTCTATCTAGCAATTATAGTTTCACTTTAATCTAATGTTTAATTTAATATCTGTTCATGTTGGCTACTAAAATTAGGGCCAGTTTATTCTCGTTATTCAATTTATGGAATATGTAATTGTTTTATGAATTGAAATTAAAGTACAAGCATCAAATTGGTTCTATGATGGGATTAACTTTGGTGTAAACTAAAACTACATGTTTTTATACTTCCAAACTTATGAGAATTATCGAATATTGTTGGAAACATTCATACAAATTTTAATGCGGTTTTTCAATATAATTCTAAAAGCTTGTTTAGATTAGGTTAGTAATTTAGGGTTAGTTCAAAGAACTTATTTTGATCAAACATTTTGGTGAACAAATAATGCTAAAGCTTGTTAATGTTTTCAAATACATATTATTACTTCTTTTCGTGACTAAGTTGCATGATACATGAGTTTACTACATGATCAAAACTCTTTTCATTATTAAATTTCAAATCTTTAATTGTATGTGTTTAATGTTCATTTATGCAAATTCAAACAAATCCCCCTTTTTTGTGACTTAAGTACCTTATGCAAATTGATATAAGCATTTATCCTGTGTCTTTCTGGATCGATCCTGATTTCCTTGTACTACTTTTTAGTACAAAGTAAAAGTGGTTTTGGAGTACATTTTGCATCCCTTTATTTGTTGGTTTTGATAGCCTAACAAGTACAAAATACAAACTTGAGCATACATGAGGCTTCCAACTACATAAGTATAAGGTATCAATCTCATTTGTTCTTTATCTACTTCTGTTTGTGGACATGAAAAAGAAACGAAAACATCTCTTACAACTACACAATCGATTGAGGGGGAAGGGGAGCATTGCTGCATTTTTTAGCGTTCAAGAACATGTTCAATATAAGCCTTTTGAGACAATCATAATGTTCCATGGGCCCGATCTCGGTGTATTTCGACATTGATCACATAAGAGGTTTCCCCGAGTTCTTTCGTGTCAAAATGGCATGAAAGTAATCGCTTTGACTCGTGCATAAAATTTAGATTGTTACTTGCAAAATAGTGTCATCAAAGTCATACAAAAGTTGTTCCCACTCATTTTAAGGGAGTATGTTGATCCACCCGATTTTATTGAAGCCATTCTTGTTCACAACTTCATCAAATTTCAAATACCATTGTGGGATGCTTATTTTAACCCATATATTTACTTTTTTAGTTTCCATACCAAATGCTCTTTACCCTTAGGCTTAAAACTTTTCGTTTCGGTCATGAACGCATCTTCATGTATGTCATTTAACTTTTGTTTTCTTGGATTTTGAGCGATTATTTAGGCAATCGACCATATTGAGATGGAATTGAGAAATAGAGTGTAGTCTCTCAAGATTTTTTAAGTTAATAGTTGATATAATTTTGGTTAATATGTCTCCCTTTAGTTGAATTTATTAATTTATGAATTAAACTACAATTCTGTGTTCTTTAAAATTATTTTTGTTAGAAAGTTAAAATGATAATTCTTTTTTCTTTGACAAATCGATTCAACAACTTTACCAACTAACATTGAATGATTCATATCTCTTAATTGTTCAACAGTGAATTATTCAGTTTTTACCAAACAACCCCTAAAATTATAAAATTATAAGGAAGAATTACAATACTAACAAACAACAAAAATGCATAACCGAACCATGACACAAAACCAATTTGGTGTCAAAAAAACACGACCCTAGCATGCCAAAATCCTACATAAGCATACAAAAGCCTACCTAGACATATACAATCCTACCTATGCACAAAAAATCCTACCTACGCATACAAAATCCCACCCATTGTCACAAAATCCTACCAAATGTCACAAAATATGGACCGGGTATTTTATATGGTCAACCTTAATCAAATCCGGCTACTTAAGGAAATAATTTAAAGAAAATAAAAAGTTAGGATATTACAAATGCAGAAAAAAATGATTTTTTTTATTTAAAAAATTATAAAACTAATCATCTCTAAAATTGATTAAATGATTGATTGATTCTGATAACCATATAATTTGGGTTACTCTCGCGATCATTAAATTGTGACTACTAACTACATCTATTAGTGGGGAAAAATGATAAGATGATGCATGATGACTAATAACCAATTCAGTATCCATTACATCCCTCTTTACAAGGTGTTTGTATCACCTCTGCTTCTGCTAATGACTCAAAAGTAGTGGAATTCTTTGCCATTTGCAATTCCTTGGTATTAATCTTTCACTTACTTCTCGTTATTCAATACCTCCGCACATCATTTTTTTTTTCACAAATTTTAGCATTAACAAAGGGCCAAGGGTCAAAAGTCATTTTCTTTCTAGCCATTTCACCCTTTGGTTAAATTTGATAAATAAGTTTTATCCATGTTTAAAATTATTATATTGATACAAACTCTATCCTAAACAAGAAATAAATTGGAACTTGCATCAAGCTCGTGTCATCAAACAAATACATTTGTGTATTAGACGTGACAACTTCAACTTGTTTGCTTATACATGAGTCGGTTTGAGTTTATTTTTATCACCAACAAATCAAATTAGTAAAAAAAGTAGCTAAATGACAATATTGTACTACAATGATTCTTGTAAACATAACTAATACACAAAAATGTAGAAAAAAAAAAAAATCATATTGAATAACTAGTACACATAATTTTTTTAAATCATTCTAGTTACATAGAGTTTTACAAAGGAAGCTTTTATCTGTTTGAAATCATTTTATTTAGCCAACGATTTCCTGTTTTTTATTATAAAATGGAGTTTAGCTAGTGGTATAGAGCACCTGAGGCAAAGGATAAACAAAAGCACCAGTGGTCTAGTGGTAGAATAGTACCCTGCCACGGTACCATTTCGATCATTCGAATTTAAAGCGCATCTGAGCATTATTTTTTTGTTTTTAATAATTTCCACAATTTAAAAAGTGTATGAAAATTTGGCTACAATATATTCGTTATCAGCTTTGCAAAATAACCCTCATGTTTTCTAAATATAAAGTGTTAGTATTAAACGAAGAACCCAATGCTTATTCCGATGTTAAATAACTGGGTAGTGTAATTTAATGTGATTATAAAATTGAAAATATAACTTGATTAAAAATAGGTCTTTTTTGCATTATGTTCTCACCCTAAAAATATACAAACACCTCCAATTGTTGATGTATTTGCTCAATTGATGTGAATGAAATTGTGGATCAAGAGAACTCGAATCGTGGATATCATGGTTCAAACAGAAGAACTATCTACATGTTTCTTTTCTAAGATGATTTAGAGGTAAAAAATCACAATCACATGTAATTTAAAACCTATCATATGTGGCCACTTTTCAGAAACATTCTTTGGGTAACTAAGAATAATTTGGTATTTATGTTACTTTTATTAAAAAAATTAAGTCATATAAACAGTGCACTTTTATTATTATTGTTATTATTATTATTACAAATGATTAAATGGGGATAGGAAGTTGCAACTTGAATAAACACTAAAACACCAAATATTTCTTCTCCTTAATTGGGTTGCTCATGTGTTACTTGTCCATTTACAAAATACATATCAAAATCTATTTGTAAGATGCTAGTAAACAGTGTCGGTGAAAAACAATGATTTAGGTAGTGTTTGTTTTTTGTCTGCAGATCTGCGAGATGTCTTCTGTCTGCGCCGTGCAGACCACGCGCAGACATTAGTCTTCGCAGACTGTTTGTTTTTTTGAAGACTGCAGACCTAAAAATGTCTGCGCGCCCTCTTCTTGGCGCAGATGTGGACCAGAGTCTTCTAACATCTTCAGACATCTTCTAGCTTAAAAAAACATATATATCTTTATTTTTTTTAAGTTTTTTTTTTAATTTATATTTTTTCCAACTTTATTAATGATAAACAATATGAAAAAAAATTACAAAACTTAAAAAAAAAACATTTGACGATACAAACATGATATTTTTAACAAATTTATAAATAAAAATTTATTATAATAATAGTCGTTGAAGTTGTTTATATAAATATGAAAAAAAAAATCATAATATATTCTTATATTTTTTTGCCAAAATTTTGTAAAACTTTATTTAATAAAGTATCATCAATTTCTCGAGAAAATATTTATCATACGTTTTTAATAGATTTATTTGAAAAAATCGAAGTTTATTTCCATCTATTTATGTATCAAATTCTTTGATCACTAATTATAATGTTTAATTATAACTTTACAATCAAAGTTGTTGGTTTTTATCAAATATGTATATGAATTAATACCATTTTTATTTTTATTTTTTATATAATAATACATAAAAGTTGATCTAGATTCGTTATATATTTATAAGAAAGTCATAAAAATATATAAAAAATTCGCTTTGAAGTTTTAAAAAATCAGTTTATTTTAATAGCCCGCAGATGTTAAAAAAACAAACAGTCTTCTTTTTTCAGACTGCAGGCGTTTGGTCCACCTCTTCTACTGCAGAGGTCTACAGATGTGGTCCGCAGACTGCAGACATTTTGCCTCAGAAAAAACAAACAGCACCTTAGATTAATTTG